AAGGAAGAATGGTAGCATGATTACTTTAGGGTTATTTTGAAAAGCTGATGAGACAGCAAACATTAGTGAATTCCATTAAAAAGATTAAGCAAACACACGTGTGTGCGTGCACATACACATTCTTTTTTTTTAAAAAAGAAAATACATTGCTAGCATTGGAATGGTTGATATGATTTTACAACTGAAGAGGGATGGAAATTACAGAACATCTGCAATGAAATTGGTTTTCTGTGAAAAACTGATGCATCACTTACTGCCAATGACTGGAAGGAAAAATACTTGTTTATACCCTTATGTAATGAATTTTTATGAGGTGAAGTTTGCTGTTTATAAAAAAAATACACTTTAAACTGCCAAAGATGTAAAATAATAGAATTCCAGATTCAAAGCAATGCATTACTGCAAAGACAATTACAAGTAGAATACTATCTGCTCCCAAACACCCAAGCAATTCCATTACTCTTATAATGACATTAAAGAGTTTCATCCATCCAGTTAAATGGGGGTGGGAAGAAAACGGATGGGTGGGGGAAAAACTGCATTCCAATTCAAAGTAGAGAGATCTGCATTCAGGGTTTCTCAGTTCCAGACTGTCTTTTTCTTCCTCCTGGAAAAAAAGACCCGGAGAGACCAAAAGATTCGTAAAGAATAAAACTAGGTTCCTTAGCAACTGTTCCCAAAAAACCAAAGATCAAACGTTGAGGTGCTTTTGCAGTGGACAGAATCCAGATTTAAGATGCACCTCTGCTTCGTTTTGGTACGCCAGTTTTACAACTGAAAGAGGGATGTTGAAACCCAAGGCGTTCTTTGGTAGCTGTAAAATGGTTTGTATGATTACATCTCTTACAGTTAAAATAATTACACTCTCTAAAGACAAGAGAACAACTTTAAATAGGAGTGCAAATTAACTCATGTTCTTGCTTGTGGCTAAGGTGGGGAGACTGAAGCACTGTGCCAAACTGGTTGCTACACTAATGATTACAACAACTTAATTACACTCAGTGTGCTTAATATCAAACCCCCATGGATTCTTGTCAGAGTGCAAACTGTAACTCTAGTCCTTGTTGGGCAATTGTTTGAGAAAATTAACTTGCTTAGTTAGCAGGATGTATATATCATATTGAAGGTCAAAAGTTATCCGATTGAAACTGTTCTGCACTGGATGACAATGAGGATAATGAGATGATGTTTTTCTGGCAGAAAACCTCTGCAAAGGTATCTTCACTGCCAGGGTTTTTTCAGTGTAGGTACTACTGGAGCAATCAATCATTGTCCATTCTATGGTGGAATCGGACACTGTTATTTTCCTAGATAAGTGATTCACTGCAGTGGCTAGGGACTCAGAAGCATTAGGTTGTGCCATAGTTCATACCCTGCTTCCAATCGAAAGGCAGGCTACGGAGTATTTAAGAATAACATTGTTTTCCTGTTTGCAATCCCTTGACTGATCATCAAAATGGTTATTCTTGGAGAACATATTGAACCCCCATTTTGGAAAACACCTTCTATCGGTACAAAGTATGAGGATGGCATATTCTTCTGATGACTTGGCAAGTGTTGATGTCATATGGTCCTGGGTTAATTTTAGTTTTAATCTTTGGATTCTATAATTTGATTCCAATTTTTTCTCTGACTACATGTTGAGATACACAATTACAAATCAATTTTATGTAAGACTCTGTAACTTGTACAGTTAGAATAACATATGGAATTCAGAAGTGCTCCAATCTCGAAAGAATGTGATGATGCTTCATAATAATGAAATACATATGAACTTTATAGGAAAAGTAACCACTTGGGTACATTGTGTTTACCTATCCAGGCAAACCATTCTTAATTTTTTTTATTGCATTTCAAAAAGATATAAAATACAAAGAAGTCGTAAAAAAAAAAGAAGCTCAGGGGAAGGGAAAAGGAAAAAAGCAAAATTGGGAATGCAGTTTAAAAAAAAGGGAAGGAGCTATTAAAGAAAATAACTTCTGCTTTTTTGGTGCAAATACAAATATAAAATAGAATAAACTTTTGAACTAAGTTAAATTGTTAACATATCATACTTTTATCATTAAACAAATATAATAATCAAAACCAAAAGTTAAAAAAGAAATTTAATTTCTTTCAATTTCCACAAAAAGTCGAGGACTGGTTTCCAAGTAGAGAAGAAGCTAGACAAACTTTTTTGTCCAATCAAAGCATCAATTTCACCATCTCCATTAATTTTATTATCCATTCCTACGTCAAGGATACTTATGAATCTTTCTATCACTGTCCATAAAGAATCTTTGCTGCTGTTATCATGCCTAAAAACAAAGTTCTATGTTTTTTTTAAAATCTGTTTATCCATCAATGCTTAATAAAAAGCTTTGGCTTTACTTATGCATTCAATTTAAAAATATTAACTGAATTAAAATACATCTAAATTATTTGAATTGAAATATAGATCTATTCTGATAATTCTTAGCATTCTTAACATCTACCAAAAATGATAAATGGTACTTTCAGACTGTTTACATTTCCAACATTTGGCAAAGTCTTACACATCTTAGACAATTTATTAGTTGTTATTAAGTACCAATGATATATTATCTTATAAACATTATCTTTTCAATCAATAAATTTGAAATACATTTTATTTTTATCCTTTACTATACACATTCTCCCACTAATCCAACATTATACTCCAACAAAAACTTTTTGCTTATTTAATTATACAATCTTTGACATATTCATCTTTAGTATTAATTTTCAACAGCAGTTTGTACACTTTAGCAATCACATGTTTATCATTAGTACATACTTATCTCCAACTCAAAGTCAGTTTTCTCATTGGTAAATGCGTAACTCCTTATCCAGTTTAAATCTTCTATTAGCTGGACATAAGCCAGCCATTAGCAACCATGGTCAAGGCAGACCATTCTCTTTAAAGATGTTCATGCTGTTAAAAGTTAATCTAGTGCAATCATTTTTCCAGATTCATTGACCCTTCAGAAATGGCTTTCTCCATTATTACACCTATCCTACTGGTTAAAAAAAAGGCTAGGATCACTACAGAAATGGCAGAAAAAAAGGGGCTGTAATGTAGGCTGTTTGAATTACTTGATGAGGATCAGTAACATTTCTGTCTGTCCCTATTTCTGCAACAAAACCAGGACAGTTAATAATTAAATAAAACCAATTTCTATCTCACAAGCTGTGACTAAGATCCTGGTTACATAGAATTGTGAAATGCCACATTGAAAATAAAATTATGATCTATATTAAAAAAAGAGGTATTTTTAGAAAATAAGGAAGATAAGATTATTTGCTTTATGGGAGTTGTTCAATCTTACAGGAGCAAAACCAAATAATAAACTCAAATACAAACTTCCTTTTGAATTGGGCTATGATGAACTAGAAATGGACTAAAGACGCAAATCAACCAGAAAGAACAGATTGTTGATGCTCCTACTGTGCCAATTGTCCATTTTATCAAAGCAGAGCATTTAAAGTAGCAGTAATTTATGAAGATCAATCCAGAATCAATCCAGAATCCAGAACTCATTTCCATGTCAATTTGTAATCTGTCAATTGACATTTAATTGCAAACTAAAATTTAAATTTAGAGGTAAAATCTCCTTTGAGTTACCACATTCCTTATGACTTTACAAATATGTCCATGAAATCTTCAATAGTAATACAGTGGGGTCACAATATCAACATTTGTTGCCAAAATGTTTATGAAAGACACTGAACAGGTGGCTTTATAATTCAGGCACCTACAGATAAAATGTTTTAATATGTTTCTACCTTTGTTGCCTGGCTGAAAGGGAAAACTTGATGAAATTTCTAAACCAACTAAGGGAGCAACACCAAACCCTAATATTTACTACGGAAATTGTGAACAATAGTAGTTTGCTATTTTGGAAAGTTCTAGTGTAATGTTATGAGCTTCTTAAACTCTGAGAAAGCAGTTAGCAGTTTGCAAAATATTATTAGCTTAGTACATTCTGTCAGGAAAATGGTTAGCTAGCTACCCTATCCATCATATGGGTGTTAGCAAAAGAATTAAGCAATCCAACCTCCAATCAGTTAACAGTTAACTTGGGTGCTAAAAGGGAAATAGACAGTTGTTGATACTTGTGTAACCTACTCTCTTTTTCCTCTTTCAATAAATCTACTTAAAGAAGATTTTGTGAGAATCCTGCTTTCTGTTGCCAAGAGCTTGCCAAGAGATAATGATGTAAATCTAAACTATAAAGTCTATAGAAAAAGAGACAAACATAGACCATTAGCTCCATACTGCAAAATACCAAAACCCCAAATAAAAGACCAGTTAATAGGTCACTGATAAGGAGGGCTGACAAAATAAGGGATGCCACTAGCAAACCAAAGGGAATTCAAAGCTTTTCTAAATAATGGGTGTACTATACAAAGCTAAGACAAAAACAAGAGAAATATCAAAATAAACTCCAAACAGGATTATGAACAGCATGCAAGGAGGTGCTAGATAAGAAATAAAAGATCAGGAATGATAGAACTGTTACCCTTTAATAAAGATAAATTCTCCAAAGTAAGGAACAGGAAAGTGTAAAAAATTAATAGCTGTATAGACAGTTACATTGGATAAACAAGATATTTTAAAGCTAAAGGAGATGAAAAGAACATTTAGCTTAAAAACATAGGACAGTTAAGTTTAGCTTAAAAACATAGGACAGTTAATAAAACCAGTCAAAATGGCCAGAAAATAGGCTTAGAAATGTCAGCTTCCTGGCACAATGTAATGTATATTTCAGTTTTAATATTTCCACTTTCAACATGTTACTTAAAAAAATCCTGAACTGAAAAGTTGCAAATGAAAATAGTCATTTTTTTCATAACTCTTCAGATTAGTCCATTAGATTTTCCACTTCCTCCCACTGTTCTAGAACAAGATATGCATAAAAAAGTTAGTTTTCAAATCTTCTGAATCTTGCATGTTTTGAGAAAAAAAATGCAAAAATTAGGTAAAAAGCACCAAATATGACTTTATCTTTTAAAAATCAGTTTATTAGGTTTCAAGTGCATGATATTATTAGCACACCTGTTTATAATAAATAAAAGTCTATATAGGAATGGATTATAGAAAGACAATTGTGGTGGTGGTGGGGAACTCAACTAAAATATACAATATATGTAAATTATTTCTGTCAGTTTTACGAATTATATTCGTTTTAGGAAAAGTCAGTTATATCTCTTTCATTTCTAGCTTATATTTTAATGGCTGGAGATCTTGCATCTCAATGCCACATTTAGGACAGGTAAAGTATATATCTGATAAGAAGCAACTTTTAATACAATAGTAACAAAAAACATGTGAGCAACCAATAGTATGAGGCATAGTAGGCCATTCCCTGCACACAGAACATTCCTTGTGACTTATTTCTGATATATTTTCATTATTGAAGTTTTTCCTAACAGGTAAAGACCAAGAAGAAATCTTGAGCTTGAGTTTCTGCATGTTAATAAGTGGCAAAAAGAACACCAGAAACTCAGCAAATCCATGCCACAAGAGTTCTCGGTTCATGTATTCAAATGCAATTGGACGGATACCCTGTGGCTGGCAGAACACTGATCTGATTCCTAAAATACGTTCAGTAAGTGTAGCAAATTTTCCCTTCTGAAGAAAAATTAGGAAGTTTAGCAACTCACAGAGTCTGAGAAGCCTGACTATCAAGTTAATAAAATATTTTGTCTTTTGGAATGACTCCAATGGACGTTTGCTAAATAAATCACAACACCTTTCTTCCAGCCATTTCCCGCCAACAGTACAAATAAGATACCATAATTTCTGTTGCTTGCTCAATGTCTGGTATTTCTGTATCTGGGATAAATCATTTGTGTATTGAATGTTCAGTAGAGCCTGTCCCACTGTTGCATTCTTCGAACAGATGGTGAATCTCCACAAAAAAAGCCATAGAGATGCTTTAATTTCTGGTTCAAAGTGAGCCAAGAGTCCAGGTTTAAATCCATGAAAACAGCAAGTGAACTGGGACCAAACTAGCTGTTCCAAGGCTTTGTTCAGTTCAAGTGCATCCAGCTGACTAATTCTGAGGACAGGAATCACTTTGTTGACAATGTTGTCCTTCAATGCCATGGTCAACACGGTGCCCTCTATAAGAAAAAATAAATTCATCAACATATTTTCTATTACATTTTGTTGTCCTTTAGAATATTTATTCTTTTCATTTTGATAAAAGTTTCATGAGTTAGACCAGTGAAGAGCAATTCAGGCTATAAAATGTAACTATCCCAATCTCACCGAATGGAAAGCAAATATTTTAAATCTGGATCCTCAGTTGTCATGTTAGACATTAAAACTGAAATAGTCAACATACGCCCATTCAAGTTAAGTCCTTTGCTGGTGGTTTTTCACCAGCACATACAATCTATGTCCAACTGTACACGTTTTCACACAAACCAGGATCCTGATAGTACATGTTACTGCACAGAACACACACTGGCTTCTACTTCATAATGCAAATGTTCAGATTTAAAACAAATATAATAATCAGGACAAGCTTCCCTGAGGGATAGCATGTTCTTAATTACCATTCCTCCATCCCAGGTATTTGAGGTCAGAGGTCCATAACATTTTTTAAGGCCAAGGGCCGAGTGTGGCCTTTGAAAGATGTGCTGAAGGCTATACTCCAAAAATGGTTACAAGATAAAAATTAAATTTTATATCTAGATTTAAATAAAATTAAATATAGTTAATATAATTGCCTTCTAGATAGGTATTTAATCATTTCTCCCTTCTGTAAATTAATTACAATTTGGCATCGACTTTTAAAAATCTCTGAAATGTCATTCAAAGCTTTTAGGGGATACTTTTGGTCTTAAAATCTGTATTTCAGGTGCACCTATAATTCTTGTGATTGGACAGTTAATATCCAACCAGGTTTTGTACGACATTTTTATACTTTAAAAAAAAACTATTTTATACTTTTAGACTTAGGTCCACCTGTCATTATAGTAACATAGTTAAATCAGAAGGTGCTACTTATCATTTTTATTCATGCCTTTCAATTTATTTGAGTCTAGGTTTCTAATATTTTGTTATCAGACTGCAGGCCCAACAAGGTACAAAAGTGAGTTAGAAATCTAATAGCCATTGTGTTAGGATATTAATAGAGGGGTGGCTTTGAATCATACCTTTTCTTCTCACATTTCTTCTCACATTCCATTCCCATGGGCTGTCCCAAAATTTCCACCATAAATGTCAACTGCAAGGACTGCAGCATTAGTGAACTAATAATTGTCCGAATTTTCTCCTCCTCTCATTGCCCTTGTGTTTGACTATCTGAGCACAGGAAGTGCCATTTTTTAATTGACCTGCAATTCATTCCAGATGAAAATTCTCATTTTTAAAATTTCTTTACATTTAAGAGACTTTAGCTTGTTTAAATCCCTTTTAAAATGTTAGTTTGCTATGCTTTAGACTTTAATGATATTGAAATTCAGGTTCTTTAAGAAGTGCTTTCTTTTGATTTATTGTTAAAACCTGGCATTCTAGAGCACTTCTGGGCTCCGGTGACCAGGTAGATCTGACTAAAATTGTACCTAATACACTATCTTTATATAGGCTTTCCTTGTTTGGTGACTGTTTAGTTACAACAATGATGAAAATGTATCTTTTTGATCAATCCTTATATTTATATAGTTACTCCAACACCTTAGGACATGCCTCCCACCAGACATTGACAAACACCAGTTTGCCTATAGGGAGAACAGGTCGACAGACGATGCCATAGCTACTACCTTACATTCTGTAGCCAGCCATCTGGAGAAACCAGGAAACTATGTCAGGGTGCTTTTCATTGACTACAATACCTTCAATACTATCCTGCCAAACATCCTTATCGAAAAGCTGACTGACTTGGATTTTCCCTCTTCCATCTGCAACTGGATCAAATACTTTCTGAGGGACCGACCATAAACAGTGAGGGCTGGGTCTGTCACATCCACCTCCCTGAAGCTTAGCACTGGCTCTCCTCAGGACTGTGTACTCAGTCCCTATCTATACTCACTGTACACATGATTGTGTATTGTCTGACTCATCCATTGTGATTAAGTTTGCAGATGATACTACCTTATTGGGCCTCAGTACAGGTGGAGATGAAACAGCGTAAAGGGGAGAAGTTCAAAAATTACCCTCATGGTGCCTAGAAAACAATCTGCACCTAAACATCAGCAAGACAAAGAGTGTTAGACTTCTGGAAGAAGAGAGACGAACCTGTTCCACTTTACATCAAGGGGGGCTGTGTGGAGAGAGGTTCCTCCTTTAAATTTCTGGGAGTCTACCTCAGCGAAGATCTTACCTGGAAAATCAACACAACCCATGTAGCCAGAAAGGCCCAACAGAGACTCCATTTCCTTAGGGTCTTATGAAAGAATAAAGTGGAACGACGACTGATGACTTCCTTTTACCGGTCCACAATAAAAAGCATCCTCACATATTGCATTATGGTGTGGTATGCTGGCTTGACAGCCGTGGATAGAAAGACATTACAGAGGGTGGTGAGCACAGCACAAAACATTGTGGGCTGTTCCCTGATACCACTAGATGACATCGCTATGGTTCGCTGCCTTAGAAGAGTGAGGAAAATTCTCAGGGACAACTCATATCCTGGTCAGCACATCTTCACTCTCCTATCATTGTATAGGAGATATAGAAGCATAGCCAGCCGCACCAACAGGCTGAAGACAGTTTCTACTCATGGGCTGTCAGACTTCTGAATGGAAAATAACTTCATGTCAACATAATATGATAGACTTGCGGGGCTGGCGTGTTGTGCAACAAGGTCACATATAGTGTAATAAGACTGAGACTCGGTTAGGGACTTCTGTCCTCACTGTGAGTTGTGTTGGAGGGGAGTGTACAAAAGGAGGCTCAGCCAATCTCACTGTACATGTTGTACTCTGACAAGAGTAATAATACTAATACTAATAATAATAATAACAACAATATTTACAACCTTCACAGTTCTGTAAAACAAAGGGTTAGGGTTATGAAATAAGATCATAAATAGAGTTGCAGTTTCTTTTAATGGCCACTCTGCTTAGTGACCAAGTTGCTGGTCCTAACTGTAGTTGTTAAACGAGAGAATATCAGTACTGCTACTTGTATCTTCTATGATCCCTGTTTCATATACTGTAAGATGTAGTGACATGGTTAACACTGTTTTTGCGTAGATTTTTCACTTCCAGTTTTGAAAAGGCTACCATCAAAAATGCCTCTAAATGTGGCATCAGCAGGGACTTTCACTCAAATTTGCATTTGTATTTTCTGTGAAATGTTGTCATATTAACTGCCAGACAGTTATGAAGTTATATAGTGATTTTCTGCTTCACAATGTATTAAATATATAACCAGGGAGTTTCTAGGCTATGCAGCCCTATCCAGACCATAACTTTACACAAGTTGTGCCTGACATCTTCACTGCTCTATTAATTACCAGGTACATTGTACTTAATTTGTTTTAAAATGCTGTTATTACTAGTATTTTTATTTTTACCAAACTAAAGGTTCCTACTGACCAATAAACATTCTAGAAACAACAAATTGTTGAGTAACATTAATTAAATAAGTATGTTTTTCTGATATGTGTTAACATTGCTTACTGTGTACTATACAAATTATGAATGAATGTATTTTATTTAGAAATGCATTATTGACAGAAATCTATCAATACTAAAGTGGGTATTGTCAAGGGCCTGTCGATATTAATGTAATTATGATTAAGGGGATAACATGGATTTTAGCTTTAATACCAAATAACATCTCCTACATTGCTGCTATCAATATAAGCATTATTATTGACCTGTTCTGAGGCTCAGAACTAGATGTATTTCCATTAAGCATATCTGTCAATGAATCCTGCCTACAAAAATTCTACATTTAAATTTAAAGGCCTGTAAACTTTGGCAGCAGAAATGTATGAGTTCAAGCAATCTCCAGAGTGTCATTCCTCCCACGCCGTCCCAGCAATTCTGCTGTAATAAACTAATTTATGCCAATCCAGTGACATTGCCATCTCACGCCTACTCTTTAAAGGATAATTAGCAGAAAACAAACAACATTTTCATACCAGAGGGGCACACAGTCCAATGCCTACATAGCAAGCCTTAAAAGATCTTCAGAATGTAAAACTTAAAACATACCAAGCTGTCCGTCTTGGTGTTCTAAATTTGACTACTGAAATATTTTAATTGTGTTTGTGATGCACAGAACAATTTATAAGTTAATGTCTATACATAATACACCAGTGAATTCAAATATATTTTCCAGGAGTTTTAGTCCCATGCATCAGTTACATCAATCAGGTAGTATTGAAATATGCAGCCAATAATCATTGCAGAGTAAACTGTGTCTTCAGCTGCCTATCAACGTCACATCTCATTGATAGCACTGTCTTACAAAAATGTACCATAGTATGTGGGTACAAAAACCTGGAAGGATTGGAATACTATTTTCATTTACATATATCAGGATCTATTCCCAGGTCACCTTAGTTTATGAGAGCATGACAGCAATTGCAGATTTTTAAAGCTTTTTTTAGTATAATTAACATAAGCATTAAATACGTAATTTCAAAGGGAAAGTCAGCCTGTGTGATCCGTTCATCTGGATGCCAACTAGTCCCCATCCCTCTGCAAATAAAATGGGAAGAAAGAGTTAAAAGAATTTCTATTAAATAAAACTGCACACAAACTGGAGTGGAGAACCAGAGGCTGCTGTGCTATAACTTCCAATATCCCTCATGCTGGGACTGCTGGGCATTTTAGTCCAACAATATCTGCATAGTGACACTTTCTCACCCCTAACATAATGAATGCATGGGGACAAAGGGAATGTACTGTATATGTAGTAAGTGCTATTTATAAATATATATTCTTAGAGAATGAGCTGTTAATTTTTAAATATGTCTCTGTCTTAATTAAAAAAAATTCCCAAGGAATTCAGAGTATTCTTTTCAAGTTCAGATGCTAGTTAAGAATTATCAAAGCCACACAAACATCTACACTTCATCTGTCTATCACACACTATATGGGTTGGTTGTAGGCTATCTCAGATCTATGGATTTTCAAACCAATTCATCATAAACAACCTTCTTAAAGACCTGTGAGAGCTGAAATTGGGAAAATGGAAAGCTAGAAGGCTCAGACATAAGCATTATTGCAGGTGCTATTTACTTCCCAGTCTGGAAGCAGAGCAGCAAAAAATCCATTTCTATGAAAAAGCAAGAGAAACAAATCTATGATTTAAACTCTGAGGCTCATACGTATTGCATACACACTGACACACACACTCACTCACTCACAAGCATGAATCACGCATACATACATATATTCACATGGCTGGATTCCTGGTTTCCATAGCAGCTGATATTCTGCATAAATATAGTTTCCTCCATTTTCAGTAATAGTTTATATTTAATCCTTAATTAAACCACATAGCATTCTTGAGGGTTGTGCTGTTAAGCTAACTATTGAATGCAGGGAATTGAATAGTGAAGAGGAGTGAAGAAACCTGTGCCTGCATGTAGTCTGACAAGACTGTCCTTTGTATGTCTACATTCAAGAAAGACAAGTAGGAAGCTTCAACAAAAGCCTCACCAGAATTATATATTATCTTTTCATTGCTATAAAATTGGTTTGTCATTGCTATGTTATAGCTTAACCTTCAAAAAGATTAATTTCATATTATATTTTGACTTTCTATATGCTTCAATTAAATGCCTTCTATCATTTGAAAGTATACTACAGACTAAGATTTGCCAACCACTCTGCACAGCCTACCAACATTTATAAACTTGAATAACTTGAACGTTTATTGAACAGTACTTGAATTTCTGGAAATATTTTTAATGATTATTTTTACGTAGTCTATTTAGTCTTTTTACTATAACGAAAGGAAAAAATGAAGTTTTATAACATGTTATCAACTGCATACAAATTTAATAAAACAAATAAATCTAAATGGAATTAGAATTTGGTTACTTGGTTTAGTAACCATTTGAAGTTACAGTTCACTGGAAAAGTAACTTTGCAATCAGCCTGTGCACTTATGACCATAAGAATCCTCATGGTCACATGATTGATATTTGAGCACTTTGCAACCAACTGATCAGAATTCATGTCTATTTTTAATGTATATGTTCACTATCAACGAAGTAGCACAGACATCTACTTTCTACCCTCCCCTCTTTTTCCAGGGAGGGGTACTTTAAATTCAGTCTTACCTTCTCCAAACTACATGGATAAATCTACACAATTTTCTTTGGAACTTTTTAGAAATAGTTGCCCATTGTCTTCTAAAGGTGACAGTGTGTGCTTCAGCAAATAGCTAGTCTTTTTTAGTAATTACAAGTTTGGCTTCTAAAACTTCTGCATACTGTAAAACAGTTTTGTAACAGCCTTGTCTTCAAAGGCTAAAGGCTGTTACAAAGCTGTTTTACAGTGTACAGAAGTCTTAGAAGTCATACTTGTAATTACTAAGAAAACTAGCTATTAACTTAATAACTAAACAGCTTTATAGGTGCATAATAAAAATATCTATTAATATCAGGCTATAATATATAAAGGAGTTCCTGAATGAGTCACTGTGACATTTCATACTACATGATGACGTATGAACCTATAATGGTTTCAGATAACTTAATTCATCTAGTCTCCAGTGGCACTGCCTATTGGTACATTAAATTTCTCTATAAACATTCCAAGTTTAGAATTTCATGCATTAAAGGCTAATTTTTAGCCTTCCACTAACAAAATGCACACAATTTCTATAACATTTAATAAGAATCTTCCCATTTTTGATGAATTTGTAAAAATGAATCACTTTTCAAAACCTCATTCCTTTTTATATCCCATATAAACAGGGAGATACATTCTTACACTACTGCTTAAATTAAGTGAAAACTTGATAAAACTGATTTCCTAAAACTGTTTATTGTAGCAGCAGAACATCAAATGTTTAAACCACCAAATGTTTAAACCAATTTTTTATTTATACATAGGAAAGTGCAGAAAATAATTTCTATGATATTTTTGATAAGGATAATGGCAGAAAGCAACTTACAATGTCCTCTAAAACTCATTCACAAGTTTATCTTAAAATCTTATTTTAAGGGAAGTATCATGGACTTCAAAAGGAAATTAAATATGCCTCCTAATGTAGCATTAATATCCTTATAGCTATTTCTCTTGGATCAAGATTGAGCATTGTACATTGGCCATACTTTGAATATGTGATTTAAAACTAGAACCTCCCTTCTTGTATGTCATCAGTTTAAGAAGTTTGAGATATTTCTGGCATATAATGAATGAAATGGGTACAACCACACATATAAAATAAAGAGTGGCTCTGAATTTAAAAAACAAATTGTAGTGGGAATACCAGTTAGTGAAATGCCATGGGAACTTCAACAAACCCTTCTGTAAATTTCTACTAAACACCATATAGATATAGTATTTGGTAGAGTTGTGTAAAATCATGCAGTTCCACCTGAAAGCCTCACTAGACAGTTCTTTGGGTCAGAAAATAAAAATCACCTTGTATCAACTAGAAGCACTGAGGGGGTCAACTTGATTTAGCCAGTAACTTCATTCTAGCAGGAAGGGCTTTTGTGTAGGAGCAGCAGCTCTTTATAAAGGCAAGACTGAAGCAGTATAGCCCTTCTGATGTGGTGCTTCGGATGGAACCTCTGCTTCAAGTTGTGGCATCCCTTTCAAGTTGCATAAAGCCTTAGTAATCAGCAAACCCTGTTCATGGTGATAGGGCTGTATCATATTAAAAAACAGGAACCTAAGTGAAAAGAATCTTTTAAAAATATTTTAGTTCTAAGCCACCCCAACCAACATACTTCTAAGTCACCCCAACCAATTAGGCACATCACAATTACTATATACAGTGAAAAACCATAATATAAATGGCAGTTAAAATATATATCAGTGGTACATGCTTTTCCTGGAACTTGGGGGAATGGGGGCTGCTCTTGCTGTTTGCAGCAGCCAGGCTGATTCTATCTTGTCAAGGCATTTCCTGATATTTTACTTTCTATTTATTTTACTCTCCTAATCAAGTTTTTCAAGATTAAGTGGTTTAGCTTTAAGGAACTAGGACTCTTTTCCGTGAACAATAATCCATTTATACAATCTCTCATTTTATGGGTTGCTGTTTGAAGTAGGCTGGGCAGGCACTGCTCAGTCTTGGGAATAATTTTTGAGATATCCCCAAGTTTGGCTTCACCTAATAAGTAGTCTTTACACACAGACTGTTTCCTACAATCAAATTCAAATCTAGAGCTAAGAACATTGGAGAGCTGATTACGTGAGTTGTGAAACTCTGAATGGCACTGAGCAAGACCACCAGTAACATTTTATAACCAGTGCCTGGCATCTTTTAATAGCACAATCCTAGGCTTTGAGGGAGATGGGGAGTTAGTAAGTGAGGACTATCTGTACAGGTATACTAAGTAACTACCATAAAATCATTTCCTACTAAGGAAAAAGGAACTGTATAAAACTGTGGAAGGTGCAATTACAACTACTTTATGGACTTTTTTTGAACCAGTAACACGAAGCGCCATGATTTTCAAGCATTTTTAATTCCAGTAGTTAAAGCAACAACGCAAGTAATAAAACACAGTAAAGACATTGAGCGAAACAACAGTTAAAACCAATCACATTTCCAAGTCAGCTTATGAGCCAAATGGATTTTGTTTTGGGGTTTTGTTTATGCCAATCAAAGGAAAGTTCCAAAGAATTTAAGAACGGCCATGGAAGCGGCCCTTCTTGTGCTTCTAACACACGTGTCCCACTGGGCCGAATCCCTAATTCTGTTTTTCGGAATATTTGCTATTGTCCCTTTCCCAACCCCGGGGGGGGGGCACTTTCCATCGATGAAGCCCCTATCTGGATTTTGGGTCAAACATTCGCAGGGCTGTCCAAGGATAAACCTGACCGCAGCCAGCTCACCCAGTGGGGGGAAAATAAAGGGAAAACAAAAACGTTCCACGACAGGCAGAAATTCAACTGGATTGGCTCTTCGACGCAGGGCAAGAAAAAAGCCGTTCCTTGCGTTTCTGCTTGTCCCAGGGGCGGAGGGAGGTAAAGAGACCCATTCCCCTCGCGGTTCAGAGCCGGTCTGCCCGGTGGAAGGAAACCCCCTTGGCCGCTCTCCCTCCAGCCTCTTCAGCCACGGCCGGCGCGCCCTCTCCATCCCTCATTGACTGACCTCGGCTTTCCTCCTGAGGGAGGGGCTTCTGGGGAAACGCCACCGCCGCCTCTGCCTCCACAGCTCGCGGCTCCAAGGGGGCGGGGGGGTGGGGAAGAGATGACCCGGATTTCACACCGAGCAACAGAGTCCGCTAGCCTAGAGCGGCCGGAGTCGCCTTTCTTCTTTTATTTCCGCTTTCGTCATCTCCATGGCCCTCCGTGGTGCCGCGCGCCCCAGCATTTTCCGGATGGGGAGCCGACAATTGGGAAAGAAACAGGAAACGCTGATTAAACTCGCTCCCATCTCCTAGACAGGTTGCTTCCTGGCCGCTTCTGAGTCTCCGTTTTGTTCATAGAGATAGGAAAAAAAATCGAAACTTCTCCATTCCCCTCGCCAGGAGATTCTTCATTTGCTCTTTTAGGGAAGTAGGAGGGGGAATTTTAAGGAATTTGTTTTTAGAGGGGCCGGTAGGAGCTCACGGTCTCCTTCACTGGACTCGGTTGTTGTTGTTTTTTCCCCCTTTCCTTTTCTGGCTGGATAATCTGGGAACTTGGAATAATGATGCCAGTAATTGCGGATCAGCAGAAGGCTTTAGTTTTGCTCTTGAGGGGCATCAGCTCACCTTGAGAAAGCCCGAAACAGCTATTGGGCGGGAGAATGGAAATGTTAAATCCTCTCCTAAGCACTTTGTTTGGTGGTCTACGGCGCTGAGTCGTTGTACCGAACCAAATTTGCGATAATGAAAACAACAACATTGCCTTTCATTCTGCCACGTTTGAGGACTCTTGTTTAAATCATTCGCCCCATCCTACTCATGTCCCCAGACACCCTCCAAAACAGAATAGAATAGACAAATAATAAAATAATAGATAATACAAATAAGTAACTTGTGGGTTATAACCAAACTAAAAGAAGACACTGCTTTGAAAGAGCGCAACACTTATTTTGTTGGGGCGGGGTGTGTGTGTGCTACGGCGATAACACCATTTCACCGGCTCTCTCTTTTTTGTCTCTGCAACTCTCATTTCCGCCCCGGGGGAGGGGAGAATGAAACATGGGTTCCTAAAGAGACCCGGAATCTCTCTTATCCGTATCGGGAACTAAACTCTTTCAGCTCACGATCTTTCCAAAGGCTGTTAATAGAAAAGAGAGAACGGAGATCCGAAGCCCCTCGATGGGAATCGGCTACTTGACGAGCGGTGTACGAGTCCAATCCCAGCTGAGGGGCGGCACTAAATAGTAACCAATGAGCTACCGGTTGAGAAAAATAGGACTCGGAACGAGAGGGTTGGGCGGGACGATTCCAAATACGTCACTGGGGAAAAAGACACTTTGGAGGCCAACGGAGGTGGTTAGTTTAGTGCAGGTGGGTTGGTGCATCCTTGGCTGGGTAGTAGTGGTTCGCTCAAGCCTTCCGCGAGGAGAAAATGTACTCATTGACTTTTTATTTGTCCTGCAGAAAATAATATTTGAAGGTAGACTGCCTGTGAAGTCGGAAGCTCCATTTAGTTATCATTAGTAAATAACCTTGGGAAGCATGACCATGATTTTTTTTTGGTTTTTTTTTTCGTTTCTAGAATGCCACTTTTTTTTTCCAGTGCCACTCCCCCCCCCCTTTTTTTTTTTCCTTTTTAAAGGTGACAATTGTTTAGCCTTGCCAATAGTGCAAAAATGTTTGGGAGTGGAGCAGGATATAAATTTAATATTTTATTTAAAATTGTAAATATATATTTGAGTCAATAATAATTCAGAGATTAATTCCTCCTGTTGTCAACCTGAGAAATTTAGAGTTCAGATCATTTCAGGAGTTTGAAACAGTTTAACAGTATTTTTTTAAAAATAGTTCATGTATACAAGTCATCCTCAGTTAATGATAGTAATTGGGGTTGCTTTCATTAAGTGATGCAGTTCATGTGATTTGTGCTTTTACAACTGCATCACTTGGTGATAGTAATCCTGGTAGTCCCCATTGTAGTTAAATGAGCATTGCAGGTTGTTAAGCCTCTCTTGCAAGCAAAGTGGCAGGCAGGTAAGGCTAAATGAGTGTAGCAGGACAGGGTAGTTGGCAGGTAGGAAGAGTGTGTGTGGCCCATGAGATGCAGCTTTAGGGGGGCTGGGATGACCACTATCAGGTGGAAAAGAAATGTAAGTAGCCCCTGCAGTGCAAGAGTGGCTGGGTTGGGGGGGTCATTGCTGCTAGGTGTGGAAAAGTGCACTGGTGTCAAGTATGACCAGGCAGGTGTATGAATGCTATAGCATTCAGGTGAGTCCTGGGGGCACATAACATGCTATCAAATATGAGATCCCTGGGATCTTTTATTCCATAGCTGGGTCTCCTTAGGATAAAATGCTGTGGGACTAAGCATAAGTTACAGTACCAACTTGCAACCTTCCTTGCTGGCTTCTCTTTTGACTTTGCTTGTGGGAAGCAGGTAAGGAAGGGTACAGATGGTGATTATGGGACACTTCAACTGTGTAAGTGCAAGCCAAAGATTCACATTGAAGTCATGTGACCATGGGGCTGCTGGAATAGCCAAACTTTAAGACTCGGTCATCCCAAAGGTGCCTTTTCAAGAGGCAACTGGACTTTCTGGTTTTTGTTTTATTAACATATATACATATATGGTAGCACTTCTTCAGCTTCTTGGATGAGAAGTGAAACATCTTCAAAGAAAAACCAAAAAGTCCAGTCGCCTCTTGAAAAAGCACCTTTGGGACAGCCATGATGACTGAGAATCTCCATACAGTAAGACTCAGTCATAAATACCACTCATTCAGTATCATTGTAACTTTGAACTGTGAAAGAATAGTGAGTAGTCATTAACTGAGGATTACTTATGTATAGCATCTTGTCAACAGTTGCTTCTCTTTCACATGCCTTGCATTTTTTCTGACCATATACAGTATGGAGTTACGTACTTGGACAATGAACCTCAACATGCGTTTCATATTAAACAACATATCTTTCTGTACCATTGCATTAATAGCAACAGAAATGGATTAATCATTTTTTTAAGTATGCTACCACTTGGCAGCCATGTTCTGTGCTGGTATAGAACTCATATTCCTATGCATGTTTTGAAATAACTTTGAATATTACTTTCATGATGGGTTGAACATTTTGTACTGGCTCTAATTGACCCATTTGCTCCTTAATATCTGCACATGATTCTCATTAAAGCTAATGGAGCTATATAGATTCCTAAAGGTAAAGAAATAACTTAGAAGGATCTGTTATAGATATTAATGATCTCTTAATTGCAGACATGCTGCAATTTCAAAATGGGGCAAGAAGGAATCAAACATTGCAAGTATTTAGCAATTTATTTACCATAAACATTTGTGTAGTTGAAGTTACCATTAAAAGTTAATGTAAGAAGTATTTTCTGATGACCCTAGATGACTCCACTTTACATTAATTTTTCCTGATGAATTAGACAAATGGAGTTTGCAACAATAATATTATATCAAATCTGAACTCTAATGCATGTATATCTTGTCAGTGGGTCAAGGGGCCAAAGCAGATCCTAATGAGTACCAAGAAAGGAAAATACAGCTTTGGCAAAGTGTTGTTTTTTTCCACAGGAAGAGGAGAAATATTTCACCATGGATATAATGTGTTTGTTATTGACTGTAAGCTTGTGTAGAAAGTGGAATGTTAAAAGAAAGAAATATTCAAGAAGTATTTGTAAATTAAATGGAATTTTCAAGGTATTTTAACATTTAATTTGAAATAGGCAGTCCTTCAATAATTGCTTTCTCTTTCCCCTAGTCCAGGAATGTCAAACTCACATTGTCATGTCGTCGTCACGTGATGTATTGGGACTTTTTTCCCCTTCTCTAAACAAGGCGTGGGTGTGGCCAGTGCGTGATGCATCTGGTTCGTAGGCTGCGAGTTTGACAGCCCTGCCCTAGTCTGTTGGTCATAGCTTGCATCATTCTCTACTAGAATTTCAGACCAGGGAAAAGAGCCTTTATCTGGATTTTTCATTGGAGGTGGCAATATTATTAGAGATGTATGTTTTCTCTGCTTACTTGTATTGGAGTTTATTAATCAGGAATCTAGATAGTTATCTTCTAATTTAAGAAAATTAACTTGAAATAGTAACAAGAAAAGTACTGTATTATGGTTACATGAAATCCCATACCTGGATTTCAAAATAAAGCTTTGATGGCTTGGTGCCCCAATGGGGACATTTTATGCTGGAGAAGGCCGGTGGACTAAAAAAGAAGATTCCACCTCTGGATTAGTTATGTGTCTGGTTCGTAGTTTTGTCCAAATCTTATGTTTCTAATGCTTTCTACATTTCTAATATTTTATGTTCTTGTTTTTATAGTGATTTAAACTGCTCAATCACTTTGATGGTGGGATAAATGGCATATAAATTTAACATTTTTTTTTAAAAAAAGGTCACTTTCCATGTCTGTTCTTCAGTCCCAACTTCTGATAATCCCATAGCTATGTACATACATGTATGGTAGCACTTTTTTTCTACTTTACTTAGTATGGGATAAAGACAATAGTTTTGATGAAGAAAATTGGATCCTATAGTTTAGAGACAAAATATATGTCATGATGTTGCTCCAATGTACAATACTTATATCAGATGTTGAACAGGGGTACGGTGGTATTTGGACGATGGTGTCAGCATATGCATCCCATTTTGTTATCACCATTTGTTGTGATTGTTGTTAGAATAGATACATAGAAGAGTTGTAGTAGTTCTTAAATTGGTTGCTGAGATTCAACTGTGGCACTACAATTCTGGCTAAAAGTGGGGCTATAGTAGATGATTGGCTGACATTAACAATTGGCTGAAATTATAAATTGTATTAATACATAAATCACAGTTTACAAAGCGCATGGCTAAATTAACCCTATACAGTAAACCAAAACCAACCCAATCATATTTTGCTTAATGGAATACATGCCTCCAATCGTATCAAGACCACCTAGGGAAAATTTGGATCTCCTCAGATGTTATAAATTATGGGCATGCTTATTATACTCCTGTGTACTATTCTCATCTACTAGGATACTGCTCTTTGAAGGTTTCATGGTTTTCCCAGACATCAAGGGATATGGATGATAACTGAACAATTTAAAG